TTAAGTAGTAAAATGTGACTACTTGCACCACTGTCAAGTAGCCATCCGTTAGCCTCTTGTTCACATACCGTACACGCTTGTACTCCATTCTTTTTCTTGTCAGAATTCTCCCAGCTAAATTGATTCTTGTGACCTTGGTTCCACGGACGAAACACGTCCCGGAACAAATTGTTTCTTCTTTCTTTCAACTTAAAAACTTTGCCCTTGACGCTTCTTGTAGCCTTCAATGCAAATTCATTCTTGTTCTTGCCAGCAATTTCTTCGTACTCACGACAAAGCATCTTCTTTGCCATAAAGAGATCAATGTCCGTCACGTTCTCGATAATCTTAACGATATGATCGTACGTTCGGACAGACTTCCTAGCAAAATGACGAGTTGTTCATCTCGCGACACTTCGTCTCCATCGGCTTGCATATACAAAAAGTTCGTCGAACTTACAAACTTGTGTTTCACCATTCGTACGCCCTTCTGCATCTTGATTTCATGCAGCTGTCGACGCATTGAGTGCTTCGACGGAGAAAGAAGCTATAAAATCTCCCATGCTTCTGCAGTCGTTTGTACCGATCGAATCATACATTGAAGACTTGGACTGACCATTGTGCACACGGTTATAAAAGCCTTCATGTCTTTGACTTTCAGGCGCCCACATTAACTTCGTCTTCATCCGGAGATTCAGTCGTGTAAAGGTGCTCCAGCAAATCTTTCTTTGAGAGGTTCATTCAAGTGTTAGACTCCTACACGAAATTAGTATCCTCATTGAGTACAGAGTTTGCCTCCGCCGTATTTGGGCTCACAATCTAAAAAGATAAATATCCCAGAGGAGGCAACTAGTCGTCAGGAAAAAATTATAGTAAATTATTCGTTAGAGAAATTACACATGCATTTAGCTACTCCTTTGTAGCGCTTCTACAAAGGTCATACCTGAGTCGTTTCTTTCTTCATATAACCGACTGCCGAAGTTTGACTTTCTGTGTCTGTTCCAAAACGACTACATCTAAACATCATCATGACGTTTAACATGCACAAAGTGTACGTCATCATCAAAGTCATGACGCAGCAGAATTCGCCAAGATCTGTGAAAATATGTGTACAGATAAGAACTTCCTTCAAAAAAAATTTACAGCGCTCTCGTATAGAAATTATACCGGAAAATGTCGTTAGTCGTATATCTTCTGACACCGAAATCGGGTCTTGTACTAAGATTGCGCAAGATTTTGTATATTCGGTCACACGAAAATATATCTTGAAGCTTATACATCTTTTGTTCTGGTGCTCAAGAGATGCACAGGGATTCTTAAACCTTTTGGGAGCGGGGACTAATCCTGAAGCGGTTTAGTACCGACATATGGCGGCATTGCGAAGTCGAAGGACTAAAAATTGTTTCGACATTTCCCACAGACACTAAACACGTTCCAGGGGGTCTCTGATAAAAAGAAAAGTTTCTGTCGAAATTCAAAGAACACCGCTTGCTCCTGCGTAGACGAGGTATCGAAGAAGTGCTTGGCTGTAAACTTTACAGCTGCTGAAATTAGTGTTGAAGCAGCATCGGACATGTTTATTATACCTGTCATTTAATTCTGTCTGCCAAAGGCTAAAGATGACTGTAAGATATCACTTTGATTTATTATGCTAGTGGAATTAGAAAATTGTAGCAAATTTGAAGAGCCGATGAGTGGTTTTGGCAGCTAAAATGCGCAGACTTGACTTGGTTTGCCTGTATTTTCATTTGATGCTACAAGTACGGTCAAAAGCCGTCTGTGTCGCTTTTTTCGCATTCCATCACGACACTCAACGAAGCTTGGACGCAGTCTTTAGCTTGTGAACATTTTACCGGTGTGTTAGGCAGAAGTGGCTGTGAAAGCTGAGTTTCGTGAACGTATTGCGTAATTGTAACAAGCTGCAGCTCATTTGCGATAAGATCGCAATTCTCGGCTGGATGGGCCATGAAATGACAGCGTTGATCGTGTACTACTTGATTGGGTCAATCTGCAGACTGATAATATGACGGGGAGAAGCATGACACCTGACTAATCGACCACACGACTTAAATAATGATGCTTTTACCGCAGCTCGTTCGAACTGAAGCCGTGGTGAGTGTCGACACAATACACCGGAAACAAATTGCACGATGTGAGTTTAATTATTGAATATGGGATTTCTTCGCCTGCTTTCTGTTTCATTTGACAAATGTAAAGACAATCAGAACGGTCGTAACTAGAATTAATGACATACCCTGTCTGCACAGGTACATGTTACACGAGTGATAGCATTGCCGAATACTTTAGACACACCCATGTCCAACGCACGCTAGTATGCTGCTCAGAGACTTGTCGCAAGTTTCGCCTCTCATCACTACAGACCGTTCCTGGCAATGGCTCGGTAAAACCCAAGACAAAAATATCAAATTGTCGTCTGAGCACGTCAACTCGTCAGTTTCAGAACGAGCAATCTCATATTTGCACCCGTTCGCACCTTTTTTGTAGTACAATCTGCGTATTTCCCAAAAGATTTGCGAGCGCAGTGATAGAAGAGGGATTGGCTTCTTTGTGTCTTTGAACGCAGTTAACTCTTATTTAGCTGGCCTTTTCGATGTGAATGGCCAGGCTCAGGTGTAGGAACTACAAGCAACTGTCGGCAGTTTTCCTGTATTCTATCGATCGAGTATCAAAGATGTAAGCTAGGCATCACCGAGAACTCTGCTCATTCACATAATGTCGACCACCACCAAGCCCTATAGATCACCTCGTCAAAAATTGTACAAACTTGACCATCGCGAACTTCAATGTTGTTGCGATTGTCCTATTTTTACAATCAAGAAGCTGTATTTCTGACTACGAATCGAGTTGGTCCGTGACTGTCCATGTCATTACGTGCACTCCCTCATCACTATCTAGCAGTAAGCCAAATACAATGCACTTACTCATCCAACTCCCATCGTCTTATCATGGTCATCGTGCTGGACTGGAGCCACCACATCAATCAGATTCAGGTGACAGCAAGAGATGGTAGGTGCAGAACGAAGCTATGATTATGAGTTGAAGCGGCCTTCCGCGCTCAATCTATACTTCATCATTAACGCTAAATAGGCTAAATCTGCTGCTGTTTCCTGACCTCAGCTAAGATGGTTGCAACACTTCCCCTGTCAGCAGCAAATGACAACGAAACCATGCAATCTGTTGCAATTACCTTATCGTGGTACTGGAAGTACTACTAATGAAGATCGCACGACACAGGAAACTCGACAAATGACACACCTGGATTAATCTTAGGCTTCCCACGTGCCTCAGCAGGGGTTGAATCCTTCAGTGATACCCGCAAAAGTTAGCTGCTCCACGCCTTTAAACCGATTACAGTGCTACTCGTCATCAACGTATGGATGATTGTAGACTAGAAACAATTTGTGCATCATGCGACGATTTGTGTAGGTCTGTATGCTGACGGAAGTGTATGATGGCGGCTTTTGTTCGGCTTGCCAGATCACACAGCCGAGACAAGAAATATTGAGCGGGACTGTACAGAGCCTATGACTCAAGTCACGGATTGATCTCAACCTACGCAAGAATGAACCCTGGAGATTGTTGCTTTCCTTTTTTCCTTTTCCTTTCAAGCATCAGCTAGTTCCATCTTCATCCTTCTTTGGGCTTTGCTTTTTCCCCTCTCAGCCACATCCGGAATGTGCCTGGCTTCTCTCGCACTTTTTATAAGGCATGACATCCTTGTCGCGACACGATTCTGCGACCTTCGACCGATCGAGAGCGGATGTGTTGCATCCACATTCTGTCTCGGTGGAAACCGAACTGATCGTCTGCTTAAATTTCGAGAAGAGGCTGCACGACAGGCGTTTTCGTAGAATCGAACCGATAGTCCGCTTGAACGCCGGAGATGAGGAGGAGGAGGAGTACCGTGATCGTCTATTTCAAGTTAATGTGTTACGATACAGTCATGCATTTGAGCCAGCAACTAAGCGCTGGATCCAGCAACATGTCGTGGCACGCCTTAGCAAGAGGCGAGGTATAGGGCGGGACGAAATCACACTACTGCAACCTTCCTTTCAAGTGCTCTCGGTGCATCGTTGCTCTGTCAGCTGGGAAGAGAGGAACGGCCTCGATGGAAAGCCTAAACGAGGCGACAACCATGAACGACGATGCAACAGCGCAGAATGTGAGAGCGTCACCATCAGTGATGGCAGGTCCCAAAGTGCGCGATCGGCAAAGGGATGATGCGTAGGGCGGAAACACCATCAGCCGTAATATTGGCGTTCCTTCTGGACACCGAGAAGACACGCTGCACGCAGACGCCCCGATAGCATACGAACAGATCGTCTGCTCGAACACAGGCCGCACCCGCAGATGTACCGGTCGAACCGATCGATCGCTGGAGCCCTAGCATCTGCGAAAAATGCAACGCGACATCTCTATTGCATTACTGCCATGCCAGTTCATCTGTTGGGTTTGTAATAAATACGCGGCTGCTACAAACGCACTTGTGAGCGCCGTACCCAACCACGACGATAACGACTGCGTTGGGTAGCGAGTAATTTCCCAGACGCACAAACGCGTTAAGCAATGAGCAACATTCGGACACTATGAGGAAATGCTTCTGCTTCGGTCTTGTGACTAATGCGACGCTGCGAGCTATCAACGACAAGCATGCGTGACCTCCAGTGTATCATAACACTAGTTCACCGCATCACGAGCGGCTATCAGGCTGTCAAGAGGTATGCAAGCCAAAGTGACAATCAAGCTGGTATTCAGTTTTCCATGTCTACGCCCGAGCTTCGTCGTTCGATCGCAATGAACTATCCACATCGGCCGCCATCGTGCTGTTGTATGACACGTCGTTAGGTGATGAACGAAGCGGCTATCCCTTCTCTCACAACGTTGTGGGACAGGCTTTCAGAAATACCGGAGACCAAAGCGCTTGAGTCCGCGTGTCCAGCTTTTTCCATTCGACAATCTGCCGCAAAGCCATAACATTCAGCCTACTTGCGGCCACTACTATGTTTTCGCCGGACAAGCTATTCTTCTCTGTGGCAGTCGCGATTCTTCTCATCGGCGATCAGGGCTCCACGAAAGCAGCAAGGACTTCAGCTGCTCTTCGGCCCTCATACAAAGCGCACAGCGCCAAGCGCACAGATGCCCCCCGATCCTTGCAAGCACTGAGCTCTGGTCATGAGGAAACTAGAGCCAACGAAGAGAGAGTGGGTGCATATTTTGAGGCGCTAGTTAAAGGGATTGCGTCGCACATCGATACTTTCATTCATAAGAAACCGGAGAGCGTTCCCTTGACGCCTGAGCAGCAAGAGGCACAGAATATGCTCTTACCGCTTGGCGGGCTGCCACAGGGTCACGACTTCGATTCTTGGCTGGTGAAGGAGACCAAACGTTATCTCGACGGACACGATAGCTTGTTTAAAATCTGGTTGCGTAAAAGTCTGACTCCCGAGTATGTGGAAGCTGCTTTCAAGGAAGCGGGCAAAGCCGATCACGACAGCGCAAAGTTCCTGGTGGGTGTCTACAAAAAAACGTTTGATGTTTATAGAGAGCAGGGCTGGGTATTGATGGCGGACGAAGTGGCGGCGCGGGCTAAATTGTTGAAACTCAGTGGGATGAGAAGCCATGAAAACTTCGACAGATGGCTGAAACATGTTGTGAACGAAGAAGACATCAACTTACGTGGTGGATTGTTTGACAAGTGGCTCGACAAAGCAAAGCACCCTGACCGGATCGCTGGTATGTTCAAGGAAGCTGGCAAAGCTCATGACACTGGCGTGCAGGACTTGATAAAACGCTACAGAACAACTTTCGACCAGCATGAACAGGCCGACAGGTTAGTGATATTGAAACAACAAGAGGTGCAGGATGAACTGGTGAAACTCAGCGGAAAGACTGGTCACCACAAGTTCGATGCATGGCTGACAAAGGTTGTGAGCGAAGGCCTTGTTCGGCAAGAGCACTGGTTCGAAAAGTGGCTTATAGATGGAAAAAGTTCCGAGTGGTTTGCGCGCAAGTTCGAGGAAGCTGGCAAAGCTGATCACCCCAATGCAAAAAAGTTTTTGAGGTTATTCAAAGAATTCGAAGAAAGACGTAGGCGTCAGTTCTACAGCACTGACTTCGAAGCAAACTGAATAAATAAAACATGGCAACTTCCTCAGCCTATACGTCGTTTTTATATTCGTGAACTGTACTAACTCGCTAATGTCCTCATTCCGCACCTTCAAGCAGTCAGGTCATGCGAATCTTACCTGGTCTCCGATGCACTATGTCAGTTGTATGGGATTCGGCTAGTGCATTGCTCTCGTTTGCTCGCTTTTTAAACGGATAGGACAGCAGACTCGATAATGATAAATGAGTACACAGACGTAATTGGTTGCATGCGCTGGCCTTGGTTCGCAGCAAGGGAGAGCTATGTTGGGTCTGTTGTGCACTGTTGGGGGGTAATGTAGATGACGTGGCCAAATTGATGCTGTGTCTCGCCAATTCCCTAGCGCCGACTGACTAAGTACGTGCTCTGCATAAATTGTCGTAAAACACGCCGATGATCAAGGGGAGAGGCGCAGGCGTCAAGCATTGCAGAGCAATAGATTGGCAATACAAGATCAAATCGGATGTTCTGCTGTTGCTGAAAGGACTAAACAACGAATGTTACTATGACGAACAAGTAAAGACTTGGCCATTTACACAATTGTGTAGCACTTACCATTCGTCGCTGTGCAATGGTACTATCTAGGTGGGGGCAACCGCACTCGACGCCTTCGGCCGATGTGTGACGATTTAAACAATGTCTTAGCGGCGCATTTGCTGGATGTAGAGGTTTTTAAAGATCGCCTACTTGGCGCAATCTCAGTTCGTCATCAGCTTGCGAGGTTTGCTCATGTTGCTGATTGCATTAACTGTTGCGTCTACATTGTCTGACTCGACAACTCGCGGTTTTGTATGTTTCGTGGTTTTGTAAACATGGTGACGCTTGTTGAAAGGTTTGATGCGCTTAGGCCCTCGGCAAAAACACGGTGCATCGCGTAACCGGGAACGCGAGCATGAGTGTGGATGTAGATGAGACCTCATGGCTGAAACGTATGAGGGAGCAGACAAGTCCCGTGAAAGCGCAGACTAGCGTGTAAAATTGTGAGTCTGCGTTGTGGTAATATGTTCTGATCCACACGTGCTCGGTGCAGTAGTTTTGATAGGAAGGATGTGTATTAGAGATGTAAATTGGGTGCTGGGTATGTCAATGATGATGACACGCAACCAGTTTCTGAGGTCGAGCGGAAAGCAATTTCGGACAGCTGACCGGACCAAGAGAAAAATTCAAGCCTCTACTATTCTGACGCTAATCGCGTGGTTTGAGATTCGCAAACTAGGTCAGTGCAGCTCACAGTGATCGTAAGTGTGTCTGTCTTTGAGCTCAAAAGTCGGATCGGCAAAAGCCACAAACTCCACGCTATGGCGTTGTGCGCTACTTGTGGCTAGTGCTGATCCGTCTCGTTATTGCATCTAACTCCTTATCTCACAGGGCGGTACACGACCGTGCGATTAGCGACGGCGATCATACTAGAGTCTGATTGCCGAGACGACCCCCGATATGAGTGAAGAGGGGTAGAAATATAAATGGAGGTCGGCGTATCGTCTCAGGTAGCCATGACGTACTGTCAAGTGCGTATTTACCGCTGCGTGCATATCTCTGACTACCATAGCTTATAACTCATCGAGCGCAGCGGCTACACGGACGGGATCCTTATGTACATTGTTTAGTCTACAATGGTGAATAGCGTGTCATTGGGACTTCAAGTTGAAGCAGTTTTCGTTCGGAGCTTTCCTAAGGAGACCCATCATTACTTCATTAGAAGCGGCAAAATGTGATTGCGAACCCGAAAATGGGAGCTATTAGGGAGTGTGCGCAAGGTTGAATACTGAGCTTTTAAATCGTACTTATCTGCGGGTGTGTCGGTGTGTCTGTAAATAACGCGGCGAGATGTACCACGCACGAACTCGATCTTGCCTGTCCCCCTCACTAGGTATAGTAATATCCGATGTCACTCTTTCTGGGTAGGTCACTGTTGTGGCACTCACTTGTGATTGGTTTAAAACCAATCAAAGGTAAATATTAGCAAATGCTGGATGCCCGTAAGCACAGGCCGATCGCGTTGCCCAAGTATACTGTACTAATTTAATCCAATCATTAGCAGCATCTTACTCATTCTTCAGTGACTGCTGTTAGATATGTTTTGCAACTTAATTCAGTTCTCCGAACTGGATTTTTGATAATAAAGGGCGAGCTCCAGAGCTTTCTCCCCTATCCTGTGCCTACGTGCGAATCCATAAATACCAAGCGGTAAAGATCACATACGGACACTAAATGCGCATGGAGCAAAGTCAATAAGAACGCGAACTCCCGGGATGCATGTCCATTCGTCGAGAGCGGCAGCAAGTATAGCGTGCTCGTTGTAGAGACCGACCGTTTAGAACTAAACGACGGTAGAAACACGATAACCTTGTTCGTCTTTATGATCTTAACCGGCGCCAGAATTACAGGTTAGCGCATCGATGAAGAACTGTAAGGAGCTGGTGCGCATATGAGAAGGCCAAGTAATTGGCAAGACTACCTTGAATGGGACCTGGTGCGCCTGTCGCATACCATTGACAGTCAAAGTTAAGTACAGTAGAATGAAATCCCTCCTACCAAATAATTGCGAAATTAGAAAGCGCAAGATGGGTGAATAACATGCGTGTAATGCGAGCACGAAAATGAAAAGGATACGAAAATATGTAAAAATGCAACCAATCTACGAAATACAAGCCTCGAGTTTCTGTAAACTTGCTTTGGTCTGCATGAAAAGTGTCCAGAACAAGTCGACTCTGCACCTTGCGCTGCGCTGTGGCAATCAACCAGCGAACTCCAACAGAACTAAGGCGACTTGTATCGTTTTTGATACTCTAGTTTGTAATAAGCTGTTTTACTCTCATTTGATGCAACTTATTTGTCGTAGGCAAATTGCTGTTACCATCCAGCACTTTTGCTACAGATCGAAAGTCAGTACATTGTAACTCATTCGAAGACCGTGCAAAATCGTAGTGGATCGAGCACTCGCGGAGGTCTCACAGTGACACATCGTCTTTTGTATCCACTAAACGCTTGGTTTTCGTCATAAAGTTTAGTAACAGGCAAGTAAGATATGTACAGAAGATCAGCATACTACGACGCCATCATGAGAAAATTGTACCAGAGCAAAACGATGGACCACGTGGTGTGTATATCGATCAATACACGATAATAACATGTATTTAGGTCAGTTACCACTCCATGTGAGTGAACCAGTTACCTCTTCTGCGATTTAGACATACCTTAGTACCATTAAATTGATGTTCTTTCGAATCCCTTCGACCACCTGTTGTCCACAGATCACCGTTCGTGACATAGCGTTGCAACACCAGCGATGGAAAGCGACGACAAAATGACAGATCTGCGAGGACAGGCACCGGGATAATAAAGCGGCGTTATTCGAGCAGTGATCCAATCGAATCGAATTTACAACCGTCCATTTGGTACCGTGTCAAATGACAAACGGTGGTACGCAGCAGTGTCCTCTCGACACGGCTTTTTGCTGTGCACTTTGCTTTTACGCACACATTCGGACCAAGAACAAGGCTTACTTATCAGCTCTGTCAAGTTCATGAGCTTTGGAAGGAGTTTCAAAGAAAAGCCACTTTGAAACACATTAAGAACAATCCTGCAGCCAGAGAGATGGTCACGACCCCGGCTTAATCGTAACTCTCGCGCCGGTTCGGGTAAAGTTGAAGGATGGCGGAATTTTTGCCATTACATACGCTGTGTAAATGCTCGTCAATGATGGAGATAGACCTATCATTTGAAAGTGGTATCGAGCAATACAGTCTCCTTCCATCCTATACGGGTGAACTGACGATTCGATATTACAAAGCAATGCTTGGTTTTGTAAATATTACGTTTAAGTGGCTGAGCTGTACAACTGCTGTGTGGTTGTAATGAGCGAGATGTTTAAAAGTGGGGTGTGGACTCGTTGAAGGCGGTGTGTGGGCGTAGATCCCCTTAACTCAAAGAAGTAAATTGTAGTGAGTTCGTTATCGAAAAGGTTCGAGTCGTGTCTTATAACGTGCACTGCTCATATGCACACTTCTCGATCTGTAAATGCTCTTACCATACGTTTTACTCAAATCATGATTAAAGGCTTTTTAGAAACGATTACGCCGAAATTTGCAATCCGAAAGAAAATCGCGCATTTTTTTTTGTACTTGCGCCCTAATTTTGATGGCGCTGCTGACTCGAAGCTTGCGTCGTGACTCGCTTCTGTGCACCGGCCGCAAGTTCCCGTGGAATTCTCCAAGTCACCGAGAGCTGCGCAATTACCCGATCAAAGTATTGTGTCGTAACCAAAAGTTCATTCGCAAAGCTGCGGGAAGTTACTACGAAGTGGAGCGCGAGTACAACTTGGGAATCGTGCTCAAGCCATCAGAGGTCAAGTCGCTTCGAGATCACAACGCGGATCTGTCGACTGCTTTCGGCGCTTTCTACAAGCACGAACTTTATTTACATGATATGAACATTCCAGGTAAAAAGAAAGGCTATAGGCACGAATTGGTAGCGGCAAAGCGCTCATTGTGCTACGTGGGACTGTGTTCATTGACAGTGTGGCGTCAGGGACTTATTGGGCGGCCAGAGCCGACAAGGGAGCGCAAATTGCTGGCAAACCGGGCGGAACTGAACAAATTGGAAGATTTTGCGAACCGTCCGAATGCACAATTGGTACCCATTTTTCAGCAGACATCATCGGAACTTCTACTTTCGTGCTGACTATGTCGTTAAACTGCTGAACGTTAGATTCCCATGCGTGTTGAAGTCGGTATTACCGGGTGGATCAAGGTCATTCTGGCTGCGTGTTTCAAGCGAGGCCAAGTCGACAATCGCAGACGCGACGACCAAAGAGAGATCAAACGCCAGCTCCGCGACTGGTAGAAGGACCACAGCAAGAACTTCAAAGCACGACAAGAGCGAGACGACACGTTTCGCAATTCAATTCAAAAACATATTGACGCATTCTTCCGCACTCTTTTCTCCGATCATCTCAAACGCAGCAGTCTGCAGTGCTCGCCACACACAGCTGCTAGGCTCCTCTTCTTCGTATCATCGGTAATTCACTCCGCTTTTCTCGTCACGTGGCTTCCTATTTCTTTAGCAACAGCCTCCAGACTTCTTCTTGCCGCCTCCGTAAGGGTCCACAATCTCTGGGAGTGCGTTGCTCTCCGTTGAAGCCGTGGGCAGCGCCTGGCTGATCTGGATGAACAAATCTGACACGTTCGTGTCCTCCTTGGCACTCGTCTCAATAAACAACGCGCCAATCTCCTCAGCGTACGCGCGAGCTTGAGACGCCGGCACCTCGCGTTTCTCCTCCAAGTCGCTCTTGTTTCCAGCAATAGCAATCACGATATTGTCTGGACCCAACTGCTTCAGCTCTTTCACCCAGTTCTTCAATGTCGTCAGTGATTGCTGCCAAAATCCCCGCCAAATGTTGCAACAACCTCGTCAACCTTCCACAAATTCCCAACCCAACATCCCGTAAAAATCACCAGACTCTACCTTTCTCGTGATATCATACACAACAATAGCAGCTGCAGCGCCTCGGTAGTACATCGGTGCCAAGCTATGATACTGTAGCACATACAACAGTACACCACAAGCACAGTAAGCAGCAACCACAGTGTCAGCACGCCTTCCCAACCCCCCTTCCCACTGTAGCCATGTCAGCGCTCAAGAAGCCCCACTCGAGGTCTCCCCCACCTTTTCCTGCCCCGCCGTATCCCAAATCTGGTACTTGATCGGCGCGTCGTTCACCACAATCATCTTGGACATGAAGGAGGCGCCAATGGTGGACTCGGAGTACGGGCGGAAGTTGTTCGTCACGAAGCGCAGCACGAGCGACGACTTGCCCACGCCCGTGTCGCCCAGCAGCACCACCTTCACCTCCCGCGCTTTGCTGTTGCCTGCGTCTGCCATGCTTCCAGCCGTCGCTCTGTCTGCCCGTCACTCCGTCCGTCCGTCTAGCTGTCCTGTAAGAAGTAACTGCGAGCGCTCGCTCTCTTCCTCCGACTCGATCCCGTTTGTGCTTTTCCTCGCTCGCTCGCTCTCTCGGTTGTGGTGAGATTGCGTTTTGACCAATGATCGGGCGGGATTTGGGGAAGGGGTGGGGTGAGATTGAGTTTAAACCAATGATCAGGCGGGAGTCTAAGAAGGGTTGGCGATGATACCGAGGCCAGATGGCGATTACTGCTCTATAACTGCCGCGACATCACGATCGGACTCTAATCTATTTTTACAGTCGGGTCGAGATGTTGCTGGTATTTTTGGGGTGGATTTGAGTCGATGGATTTTATAATAGATTTATAGAGGGTGTAACTTAACGGGAATAGGCTCGGATGATGTCGCTTTATGTTGACAACAGGTCGATTGGTAGTGATTGCATCGAAGCGGTGATCGACTACGCAGATAGAGCTTCAGTTAACGTCATGTCGGTATTTGTGCTGCCTATCTCTGGGTCGAGCAAGGGATAGAGAGCCGTAAACACCATAAAAACGGGACAAACATCTCGGTACAGAGACAAGGAGCTGACACGACAATCCCGTCCGAATCGACGATCCGGTTGCATAAACTGACACAGCTCGGCGCTTGCTGTAAAAAGAGTAATTACGTGCGCGTGAAAACGAATGGCCAGGGCCACCTCGATTGCTATTACTGGCCATTCTTCCCATTGTGCATTAGGAACATCGATCGGTTGTTCATGCCGTCACGAGTCGTGTGCCGTCACGAGTCGTGTGTCGTCTTTGCTTTATTGTACTCCCGATGATTGAAAGATCTCTAGAATTACACTGCTTCAAGTGATGACAAATTTCCAGATGAGGGACCGATATCACCTGTAGCTTATGAATGAGATGACTGTTTTCGTGTGTGAGCATGATGAAAGTCTAGCTTTGTTCTTAGGAAGTGCCGTCTGATTATGTTGAACGTTTTGACGACAACAAGCTGTCGAGCTTCTCTTCGAGGGGCTCCTGAGACTCCACACGTACACTCAGTAGAGCAGTTAGGTGCATTTGTAGTTGCTCGTGCTCGAAACGTCGATACGAGCTTGTCTATCATAATCTCAGAGTATTAGTCGATCGTACTGTGTACGTCAGAAAGTTTACAAGCACCTAGTTGCTTGCTTGAACACGTGATAAGGATTTCATTCTTGTTAGTCTGTTAAAGTTCCCTACGTGTTGCCTCCTGATATGCGGAGCCACCCGTGTGGCCTTCAGCTGCTGGATTACTCAACTGCTTCAGTTTGAGGAGCATCTAGAAGTTCGAGGTACCATTGTCTTGAATAAATATTGCATATCGAAGAGGGATTCATCGTGACATTATCGTGTTGCTGCTTGGCGTCAACCATTTGATTGCTGCACGAGATTGTTGCTTGACTCGATACACCCCTTAGCCCGTTATCTATTTTCAGTCACACAGTTGCATTTACCAGCGAAGGTGGTGCGTCGAGGGTGGTGTTTTTGTGTATTGCTGGTCGAGATATCATGGTAGAACTGGCCGGGAAAGCACGCGGCGAGAGTTGCGGTTATTTCGTGCAAATAGCTTTTTCTACTTATTGACAGAGGAAGGCATGCCTGTTGTGGCAGCATAAGGGTGAAGGACGGTGCCAGTACTTGCAGGGAGTCGTAGCTACGAATGAAGCGAAGCGCGCTTGACCATCAATTGTTACATGAACGATCGGGGTTTGTAGACAACTAAAGCATTGAGCGATGAACAGAACAGAGGGATTCAATTGTTCATAAAAAGTGTGAGACAAAGACTGGTGACTGATGTTGAGGTGAGTGAAACAAGAGCTACTGGTTGGCGTTACGATGGGCACAGCGTGGCAACTACCGGACAACACGATGTCACGGCAGTTGCTCTTGATGTGGATGCAGCCTTCCGGGAGACATCAGCCTCACCGAGCAGACTTTTGACCTCCCAAAGTTGACTCAACGACCGACGTCGTGAGTGACAAGCATTTGCTGTTACTCTTAAACTGATTGATTGACTCAATACCGATTGATGCAACTACTCTGCACATTTACAAGTAACGTGACAAGCTTTGAGAACGCGAGCTTGTAGTCAGTCTGTTGAAGAACTCCCTTTATCTTTTGTGCACGCGTGCCGGACGCCATGTGCTGCCATCCATACACGACCGATCTGGACCTTCGCTACGATTATCGTTAAGGCTGTTTTTTCAGATACCATTGCAAGCACTGCCGCACAAAAGCAGAGCAACAACAGCTCAGACATATGTACTGTTCTGAACCCGATGTAGACGATACCTTGTGAAGTAAACAATTTGACTGATGAAAACAATCGACACGGGCAGCGATGTTAGAGCTTCGTCGGATCCAGAGATCGCTCCATGAAAACTGAGAAATAGACACTGACAAGAATGGGAAAACTGAAGCTTGACCGTACACAGCATCCTTGCGTTAGCTGATTTGTGAGCGATTTCATGAGTGATGAAGCGTTTCCATTGCAAACAACAGTCAAGGAATGAACAATCAACAGCAAGTGTGATCAATCAATTCAGTGTTGGCAGTAGTAACATCCTAGTGTCGCTTCTTATCACCAAGCTGTGCTTCCGCGTCTGCTACCCCTCCTACTGATCATCTTTCCCAACCACGTACTCCTCAATACGATGCACCAGCCACATCACATTATGCGGCGTGATCTTTGCTTGTTTTTCCATTTGCTCAGTCAGTCGTCGACATGAGTCCACATACCGGTCGCTGAACCCATCCAATCGACGCTCCCAGAACTTGTATACAGCACTAACAGAGTACTTGGCCTTCTCCACCGCTCGATCTCGAATCTCTGACATCGTGATTGAAGCAGGTACAACAGCCGGTCCGCGTGGCGTCTTCAACCCACGCACCACTTCGCTCTCCACGAGCGCATGACCGTCATCCGTGACTTCAGTATCTCCAAAGCCGAACAAGTCGTCGTCATCGTCTTCAACCAGCACATCGTCGTCATCCTCCGAATCGTGTCCATCCTGGAGATCTCCTCGTCGCTTGCCAGCGTTTTTTTGCAGCTCGCGCTTAATGCGTTTTCGCTCCTCCACTCGTTTCATGAGCTCGTCTTTGTCCACGTGAATGGCAATGACTCCAAGGCCCTTGACATATGGCAAGTGCTTGCCCTCCTCCATCCACTCGGGGGAATATACTGACAGCCCAACGCCCATGAAAGTAAAATTGTCTTTCCGAGGAGGTGCTGTCACAAAGTCCATAATAAAACCAAAACATCATTAAATATATGTTCTATTCCTAAAAAAAAGCAGCGGCCAATCGAACAATGTATAGAATTTACCAGCTCGTTCTCTCATTTCTTGCAGACGCTCTCGACTGGTGGAAAATTCCACTTGAAGTCCTTTGCATTCCGGACTTTGACGCGCTTTCCACATGGCTCTAGATTTAGGACATGACAAATAATTTAGAGTTGTTACAGTTTGAGCTTTTTGTTGCATGTTGGAAATGGAATAAAAACTGTTGTGACCCAGCACCTACTTGGTGTATACACTGATTCCAATGCACAGATTGCATGGCGCGTTGGTCTCTGCATCCGTGGGAGACGTAGCGCCTCCGCCTGTATGACGTTCCGGCGGGACGGGTGGCATTGTTGCTAAGTGAGAAGTTTCAAATCTGGATAGATACTGATTGGTGGATTTCTATCGAGCTTATCCTATGACTATAGAAATTCGAAAACAGCATAGCAAAGACAGAGTGCTTCTAACAGACAGCTTGGGCGAAAAAAATTGTCGCAAATAAAGCAAAACTTGGGTATGTTTATCACACGAAAGCCTGATAAAAATTATTGCGAAGTCGGATCTCGTTTTGGACGTACAATGTTGTCAGCAGGAGAAGCTGCTCGAACGTTGCAGGCACCCAGCCAAGCATGTATAAGACAGAAAGTGTATTGACGAATGTGCAAGTAGTGAAACCAGATCTGCTACAAGTATGCATCACAAAGGTAGTGAGAAATCTATACATTGCTGAAAGCATAACATAGAGCCGAAAGGTGCCTGTCACGATTACCAAAGTATGGACAATCACATGCCAACACTGACGAACCTGAACGCAACAGGAACACATTGAAGTCCACCGCTTTATTGTAGAAAATGCGACAGTGTCGCTCATCTACTACAGCAGACGCATGTAAATAAAGTATCGGCAATGCGCGAACGTGCATACTCTACACAGAACTTCTTGATCAACAAACTTGTTGTGCACAATTATGGGAGCGAATAATGCAAATCGAGACCACGACAGAAACTTAGTCCGGTCATTTTCGTGTGACGTTATGCAATCCAAACTGATACGATTACTTTGACTGACTGTTGTTGTTCTTCTTCTGTCAGATCAGTGAGAGTTGACACGTGATCTCGCACGCAAGTGTATAACAAGTTGATTGTAGTTGCAGCTAGAGCGCATACGTGCTGCCCTGATGATGGAGGCGATGTGGGCTTATTACTACTCTATTATGTGTGATGTATACAGATTCGGCTGAAGTGTTGGCCACCGTCAAGAAATAGCGGGATTTTGACCTTCAGCGCACAACTCGAGTAAGCTTTATGTGGTGAAAATCTACCGAGATAATACATTTTTCCGACGTCGTACAACGAATATTGCCGGTACGACAACCCCAGCTGTACAGGAAGAGGCGACTGAATAGTATCGGTAATCGAACGAAGGCGTCTGCAGCTCATGTGACGCCTCTCGTTGTGCAGCCTTACTGTATTGGCATTGTGAAATCGCTTTCCGACGAAGATGACCGAAGATTAAGGATGAGCGACTGCTCCAAAGAGCAGAGTATGAACGGTCTTGGTCTATGAAATAGCGAAGTGGGTTGTTAAGATGATGTTGATGCTGGCCAAGACAGCAGTAGTCCAATCTGTTGAAGTGACGCACTCTAGACTTGATTGTTTGACCGCTTTCACGTTAGTGGTCTTTTTGGCAAACGCGGACCATGAAAGCATGCAGTTGCTAGTCGACGCGATTTCTTGGTTCTACTTGTCACCTGAAAGTAGTGCGAATCCTAGGGACTCCGTGGACTTCGACGATTTCCACTGACGCGTTGTTTATTTCCAGCGCTCGCCCAAGTCTTGAAACACGAGATAGTTGATTCGGAGGCTATGGCAGTCAGTCCAAGCGTCTCGTGCGTATCCCGAAGTTTCAAGCACCCGCTCGCTGCAAACTGCTGCTTCAACTGAATAAGGAACAGGACCCGATTTTCCAGGTTCTCGCGGCAAGCTACAAGCTCTGAAACATTCTTTTGATAAATAAACTATATCAGCTGCAGATGAAGCTGCAATGTGCATCAACACGACAAAAGCTCAGCTGTCAATAGCATCATCAAATGTCTCGCCCTCAAGTGTCCAGCGAACCCCTGACTCGAAAGCCTCTACTCAGCCTTGCTGATATCGGGCTGGCGTTTTACCCTGTCCGCTTTGCTCGTCGGGAAGACGACAAAGGTTGTGATTTCGGCATGACTTAGTGGGGACGATTTTCATCTGAACGCCGACCAAGAACCACCAAGGAACAAATGGAGACTGCGACCCTCGCAACATTTTTTATTGGTAACGTCGCTCGTACAAGTATCATCGCTATGGCCGGTGCAGAGATCTAGCACAACATGCATAGGCTTATCGGTTGAAGAACTTAACCGACGCAGCAACCACGTCCCAACGCTTCTGATTGCTTCTTCATGCAAATAGCATCCGTACTACGAAAGGTGTTCAAACGACGCTGTCGTACAGTTGCTTGTTCACCGATTTTGGCTTGAGCTTGATCATGCGATAGGACACTTGCGTTTTGTCGTTGGGTGCGCGTGCCACGTGGCATCAGCTCGAAAAGATTCTTCGTAGCTCTACAATTCTGCTGTAGGCAGTCACTCGTCAAGAAGCAAGATACTTGGAACTTCCCCTACTGCGTCACTAGCTAGAATGCAGTTACGACATATTCACGTCAAGGTGCCAGCTACAGAGGCTTCGAGCGGAATCAGTCGGACGTTAATAGCTCTTCTTGCCACAAAACATCAATGCGAAGCTGGAGGTTTTGACGAGATGATGGTGTATCTCCACGGGTTTCCAGACATGAGCGTTCATCCAGCTAAAGTGGACTTCGCTTCTCGAGTTCCTACCAGATTGTCTGAGTTTTGGCTGAACCAGCAGCATGAGACAAGAAGGGTGGCATTCATGACATTTAACTTCGGTGGTATCCCTGGATCTGACAGCGAGCTACGGTTTACGGACAAGACCATTTCGCAAGAAGTGGAGGACGTTGTGGCAGTGTGCAAACACATTCGCTCTTCTCTTCTCAAAGACAAGGGGAGAGTGCATGTCGTCGGGCTTTCCACTGGAGCCATTGTTGGTGCCTTGCTGCGTGAGAAGCAGGTCTGTGACACGATTACGGTGATCGCTGGATTGCTTGACTTGACGACAGGCGTCCACTTTGACTTCAACACTGTGCAACTGGAGCAAATTTCTACTCGAGGTTGGTGCTGGAAAGAGTTTTACTTACCAGAAGGCTGTCCTTTGCCAAGAGATGTCGATCTTTCTTTGGATGGTATCAACCCTACGACCGGGCAAATTGACACGACCACATCCTCCAAAATCTACGTACGTCTAGATCGACGATACGTCGCCGAGTACACGGATGGTTCGCTGAACATCCCCCAGGCTGTGTCTAGATCTGCGTCGCCGCCACTGCTGGTCATTCATGGCGACGCCGATCAAGACGTGCCGTTCCCGAATGGGGCGGAACTATTCGCTGCCGCTGCGGAGCCGAAGACGTTTGTGGCGATACCACACGCTAACCACATGTTGTCGAACTCGAAGCACCTGAAGAAAGCGTTGCGAGCAATTGGAGATCACACCCGAGTCGCACATTTGCTAGATCGTCCGAAGTAGATCGAAACGTTATCAATACGCCAGGATTGTTCGCCAAGCTGGGTCTATGTGGATGGCAACATTGCGGACTAGCAACCTATGCCGCTGCTAATGATGTTCACTTCCTCTGTAGCCCAGGGCACTTTCCAATCGATCGATCTGGTTGCATCCTGGATCAGCTCGCAGCCCATTCCATTTCCTGTGTAATATCGACGTTTACCTTCGAGGCAAGACCGTGACCTCTACGTATCACTGTGCTATGCAGAACGCTAGCACGAAAGCAGGAGCGTTCTACAGAAAATGGTCCGATAAAGAGCTCTTAGCTAGGCCGATTCGAGTTCAACGATCACTTCATATCTTCTGTTTTGATCGTTTTGACAGTCAATTGAATACTCGATCTTTACATTATGCGCTTACAACTTCATCCAACCGCACAACATCGGCACCATATCTATCGAATTCGTTCAACACACCGCAGAATTTGACGACGACATAACTGCCGTCATCGTTCGCTTCATGGCGGCGGCACTGTATGCAGCGGACAATACTATCCGACGTGAGTAAAATACAGGAGTCTGTCAATAGACTCATTACTCTACAATGGGCTTCGATTGATGAGCAATCGCTCCCATTCGTATGCTTCCGCATCTGATCGGTCAAGCCTCGAGCTCAACTCCGTGCTCGAGATAGAGATTCGCCCATCAAGACCAACGTGTCCATCGAACGCAATGTCGCAGTGAGCAATCAACACAAAGCCCCAGCAGTCCAGCTGTATCTAAAACGATTTGCGATGTCGTAGCTGACAGCTGCACACGAGTCAGGGCTGCCGTCGATTGTCCCCGCACCGTCGGAAGGCTATAACCTACTCATACCATTGATTGCATGCTTCAATAAACATCCAAAGTTGCCCACAACCTGCAAACAGTCAGATCTCGCCGACACAATTTTTAGTCAACAACACCACGACTCCATCCCGTTTCCAGCGAATGTTACTTGTGACAGTCAACCACATTCTCGTCGGGTCTCAGATCAAGTCGTGGCGGTCTCAGATGAGGTCCCGGAGCCCATTTCTGTCGCATTTATCGAGTGGACCACAACTTCCCTGCGTACCCCGATCTTCGTCCCCCCACCTCGATATCCGGATACGTCACACGTCCGAGCGACTTGCACTCTGTATCGGACATTGCCACTGCCAGTCAGTCGTTCCCACCGGTCACTTTTCAATTTGCTCTCAAGTGCCCACCCGCTGTCGTGTCGGTTTGTAGCCAAGTGGACGACCTCGATCTGACCTGAAATGCCGCACAAAGTCTGTCTCGTAGGGTCTGGCAACTGGGGCTCAGCCATCGCCCGGATCATCGGCGAGAACACGGCGAAGCTCCCCACTACGTTCGAACGCGACATCAACATGTGGGTCTTCGAAGAGCACGTGGACGGCCGCAAACTCACGGAGATCATCAATTCCGAGCACGAGAACGTCAAGTACTTGCCCGGGTACAAGCTCCCCGACAACATTATCGCCGTGCCCGATCTCTTGGAAGCTGTGCGTGACGCCGACATTCTGATCTTCTGTGTGCCTCACCAGTTCCTCGGCCGCATGCTCGTGTCCATGAAGGAGGAGGGACTCAAACCAGGCGCGATGGCCGTGTCGTTGATCAAAGGCATTGACTTTGACGACAACGGCGTCGTGCTTGTGTCCGACCTCATTCGCAAAGGACTGGACATTGACTGCAGTGTCTTGATGGGCGCCAACGTGGCGAACGAAGTGGCAGCTGGGGACTTTTGTGAGTCCACACTTGGCTGTGCGGATCTGCGACATGGTGCACTGCTGCGGGAGCTGTTTAACGCCCCCATGTTCCGCGTGGACGTGGCGCTGGACCCGCACGGCGTGGAAATGTGCGGCGCCTTGAAGAACGTGGTCGCACTTGGTGCTGGCTTTTGTGATGGTCTCAAGTACGGTGGCAACACGAAAGCAGCGATTATCCGCATTGGATTGAACGAGATGAAAAAGTTTTGTTTCAAGTATTTTGATGGGGTCAAGGAAGACACGTTTTTTGAAAGCTGTGGCATTGCTGACCTGATTACAACGTGCTTTGGTGGTCGTAATCGCAAATGTGCGGAAGCTTTTGTGACGGAGAAGAAGTCGTGGGAGGAGCTCGAGAAGACGATTCTCAATGGCCAGATGCTGCAGGGGACGCTCACGGCTAAGGAGGTGTACGGCATTTTGAAACAGCACAATGCTGTGGACCAGTTCCCGCTGTTTGCGGCCATCTACCGCATTGCATTTGAAGGAGCGGACCCTGCTACGATCACACGGTTTTAGTTGTTGCAAGGAGGAAGACTAGCGTCGTACTAAACATGCGCCTGTTACTAGATTAAAAAATCATGAAGCAAGTGAAACGTGTGCAAACAGGATGCGTTATGTTTGAGGCTGCTACGTGTGTGAAGAAGTTGGCAGCGACATTTCTTGGCTGTTGATCGTGTCACTGCTTTGTTGTTGTTCACATGAAGGCACAAACAGTTACGTCTTCAATTTCGACTTCGTGAGTTGCGTCATTACCGACGACTGTGCGATTACGTAGCGCTTTGTTTGTGTTCGTTGCATACGGTGACAAAAGGCAAATGGCACACAATGAAGGCATTGCGTATTCAAGCTTCCGGTCGTCGATTGCTTTGTTGTACCATTGTCCTGCGGCATTTGTGGCCACAGCGCATTCAGTTTTTATTGACAACAAGACCACTCTCGTAAATAGCATAAGCTACTCGCACGTTGAGTCGTGTGTTTAAATGATACGTTCAATTTCGGGCTGATGCTATCAATAGAAAAGAAGAGCTGTGGTCGCAAACCTTGTCCTTCCACTCTCATTTGACCCAAAATTTGAGGTGGAAATCGTACCGCTCCGTCATGCACAGCTTCGCGGTCGACTGATCGATGACGGATTCAAAAAGGATGCAGCGCATGGGAAACATGCCATTTCTAACGGCTACCTCCATCGTCATTGCATACAGGTGACAACGACAGCTCCGAGAGGGAAATTGCCGGCAGTCAAATTGACACGGTAGCTAATCTTCATCCTTTCTACACTCGCTGGGCAACCAAGAACACCGAACGAGCAGGCGACAACGCTCTTGCATTCACAAGGAACTGTGACGAACAAACTGACTCAGTCTACGTCAAGGCATGCAATGCTAGAAAATGCTAGAAAATGCTAACAAATTGTCCGGTGGAAATAAAGGCAGAGGACGCGTTCTGAATTCCAGCAGTCACGTTCGGACGAAAGACCACGGAACCAGTGTAAATTCTCATACAACGACTGCTGCTCCGAGGATTCTACTCGATCGAATAACGCTAGTCATCGACGGTGGGTTGTCATTGTGTACATCGAGGTTGAATTGGGTGCGCTCAGCGTCCGCTACGCGTGTAGACCAGCGTAAAAACAGCAAGGCAGCGCAGGCAAACATATCACTTTAGAGCGACCAGCGCAGGCAAACAAATCACTTTAGAGCGACCAGCGCACCGTATTTGACATCGTACGATGTCGCATGCACTGTGCGCCATAGAAAGCGTGGCGGAGTGGGCAGTTAATGACTTATGGCTTTAGTCTTCATGAACTTTTGTCGCTCAGGGACACGAGATTAGCAATAGAAGGATGACACAGCTTGGCGTATGCAATCTGAGTCTAGATCTATCAGCGTCAAAGTGTAGAGGCACTTGCCGTATGCTTGTTGGTAGATATCAGTGAGTGGCAAATGCATTTGAACATGCACTCAGTGTGTCTCGTCATGGTGCCTGGTATATGTAATACGTGGACTGAGTGCCATGGCTGGAAGCTCCAGAAGCAAGGGATCGGAATGCTGCTACATTCCATTCACAAACGACGGTGTAATTATAAGCGAGGCATTTGCTGGCACGGATGCCATGCAAAATCGTCGGACCATGCGAGAAAGCAAGCCTTCCCCTTCATCTTTGTGCTCAACAATAGCCTTCGACTTTTCCATTGACATTTATACTGGGGCCAAATTTACGGAGTTATTGGGTACGTCGTGCATCTGAAGGAGCTATTTTATGCTTTGCTCAGATTATGAAGCAGCTGAAAGCAGCCGGTACTGCGATACCTAAACGAGACAGGGTCCAGTTTGGAGCTGAAACTGGAAGCAGTGATGGCTCCTATGGATGGTTAAGTACCAGAGCAGTTGCTGTTGCGCTTAGAGCGTCTCCAGCAATGCGTGTATCCTAACTTTTTGTGCACCAAGCAGAGACCAGTATAACTTTCTTGCGAACTTGTACGCGAAAAACTTCACAGCAGCTACCTTTGCCATAATTTTGATGGCGCTGCTGACTCGAAGCTTGCGTCGTGACTCGCTTCTGTGCACCGGCCGCAAGCTCCCGTGGAATTCTCCAAGTCACCGAGAGCTGCGCAATTACCCGATCAAAGTATTGTGTCGTAACCAAAAGTTCATTCGCAAAGCTGCGGGAAGTTACTACGAAGTGGAGCGCGAGTACAACTTGGGAATCGTGCTCAAGCCATCAGAGGTCAAGTCGCTTCGAGACCACAACGCGGATCTGTCGACTGCTTTCGGCGCTTTCTACAAGCACGAACTTTATTTACATGATATGAACATTCCAGTAGAAAGAAAGGTATAGAGATTGATAGCGGCAAAGCGCTGATTGTGTGGTGGGATGTGTTGATTGAATGTGGGTAGGGATTATTGGAAAGGAAAATTGGAAAATTATATAAGTAAGTTTAATTTGGCTGAACGTGACTGGTAAAGTTGCGGTCGCCTTAATTTGCTTCTTTGGTCCATCCACAGTTCGGCTCAACGGTGTAATGTTGCTGGTGTCATTTAGAACCACGTCGTCGACTTCAAATCATCGTTCTTCTAGATCAACTGGAGTCAATGAATGGCATGCGACTAATCTCCGCCAATGACCTGATTGATCTCACAAAATCTGAGCCAATGACATGCAGCCAAAACCGTTCTCTCGGGTGTCACAAAACTACAAAACGCACACGGGATGACGAAAAAATAACTTTTTCCGTCTCATCCCCGAGTTATTTCGCTGCGGTGGCGCCCGTTTATGAGTCTAACGAAATAACATTTTTTGATTGGACAGAAAGTCGAGGTATGCGGACTGGTGTAGACGCTCTTCACAACACTCCGGCTCTCTCGACCAAAATCATTGGACGGCACTACTAGTGAAGCTTCCGGTCGGCTGAACATTTGTCCACTGGCATTATTTCCGGCAGCCCCTCTAGTCAGAAGTAGATGCGCATCTACACTTTCGTATTCCTTGTCTCTAATGCGGCTCCGACACGTGCCACTGGCTTGCCGGGGGAATCTGATCACTTGACGATGGAGGATATTTCCACGGCCAGTGCTCCTCTCTTCATTCATGATCCCAACAACACTCGTGTCAATCGCTTGTTCAACTCCCGCGTCGCTATGGACGATGAAGAGAGAGCTCCAGGACTAAATCTACCCAAGATCTCAACAGTGCTAGAGGGGGCTCAAAAGACTGCCCGGTTCAAGTTAAAAGGAGGTGCTAGCAAAAACGAGATCACGTTCAACGCTTTGCATCGCCTATCAGGCAAGAATGGAAAACAATTGAAGCTTGTGAAAGTGGGTTCACGAGAGTCTGCACAAGAAGAAATGGACCGTCTGGACGATGTGGTCAGGAAGATGGAAACGCGTAAATTCAGGGAAGGCTCCGACACGGCTATAGTCGATCTGAAAATATGGAATAGCGCTTATTCAATCAAGATGGTTGTTGCAGTCCTGAAGAGGAGGAATTTCTTTCGCCATATATGCTTCCAAAAGGTGCGAGCTTTGGAACAGTGTTTCGGAGAAAACGAGGCTGGACTGTTTGAGACGCTTTCGGAAGGCTTTGGTGGTATGGCGAGCTTCACATCCTTTTTGTCCATCGCGAAGCGAAGTCCTATCGTCGGGGACTTTGCAGAGTATCTCCAGAAGAAGCTGCTACAATTTTGGCGCAATAGTGAGGTACCCGTCGATGATGTACTCAATCTTCTGTATTTGACGAAGAGAGGCTGGCGATACGAAACCCTGGATACTTTGGTTGAGTACGTTGCAGTGCTTAGCGAGGTAAAACCGATCGAGGCGTATCGAGAAACGATTGAGCTTCTCAAAAAAAAGTATTCTAAGCCCGTCATCATGCGTATGATTCCTGAGGGCAAAGGTGCAGCAGTTGAATCTGCCACTTTGCATCAACGTGATGGGAAGGTGTCGAAGCAAACGGATCTCGCCAATGACCTTAAAAAAGCGCTGTTCGAGTCGTATGAAGTTGGCGTGGGACCAACCCATCGGTAACTCGCATGAACAAGAAGCTGCTAATCTGTACCGTTTTCATCAGACTTCGCAAGATGCCTGGTTTCCTTTAACTTAAGGTTGAAGAAGTAAACTCGGGCAGTACGTGTTGTGGTATATGGTCAAGTGTTGTGTACATGCCCTATCCCGAAAGACGGTCGAAGCGCCATATGTGACCTGACCAAGTCCATCACAGGGATAAGCTTAAGTACCGTCAGCGTTTCACAAGCTAGTCTTTTTTCGTGTTATTCAGGGTCTGTGTCAATTGCATGGACCATCTATCAGAGTAGTGGTCACAATTTTACGCAGTAAAGCTGATGGCGTTGTCGACGCGGCTCTTCATCATGTTCTAATGACCCAATGAAAATCTGTAGTTTCGTGTCTGCTTTAGTCTGATATAATTTGAGCATTCACTGAGAAACGTGCTGCTTATTGCAGCAGCCTCAATGTATCCACTACCGGGTTCTTGTGCCTTTTCAAAGGCGACATCGCGATGCCGACTGCTACTCTTCTGTTTTTTTGCCCCACAGCCGGTCATCGTCGAGTCAATATCGCTCTTTCGCTTGTTACCGACCTTTTTTCTCTGCTGCACCCCACAAATTTTGCGTCTACGTAAGAACCGCCAGAGGCAAACTAGCTAGAATGCTCAGCAGGTGGTCGTAGGTTATGAGCGTCTCGTGTTCGGGCGTGTTTCAGCTTTGTCATTTTTCGGACTCGCTGCCATGGATATGCGAACCTGCCATGACGCTCATTTTCCCGAATGTGGTTTTCGTCATCATTATAGACGATGATGATAGCTTCCCATGTGATGAAAGTGAAGACCTCGACAACTTGGTCCAAACGTGACGGTATTTTTGCTGTGCTACGGCACCGATGCTATTAGATGTCACTCCTTCGCTGTAGTAGGTATCTTACTTGCGTAACGCGCTCTTGGATACTTGACATTTTTTACGGGAGGCTGGCATCCACATCATTTTGTAAGTCTCGTGAGTGGATAAACACAATGGTCAGCTCTTTACTATTTCTTCTCATTTGCTTGCAGTCGGTGACTGATATGTGCGCAACCGGCATGATGTCGATTTCGTTTCATCCTGCTACGGTTCATTAGGCCAATTTGTAGCTCATGCGGTTGCATTCCAGCTACATTTCACAGAAAAGCATTATCATGCGAGCTAGTACATCTTGCACGATTTCTTGGACACAGTGACGATACAGAGATGAAGAAATCTGGGAAGGCAAACGACAATTTTTTTCCGTCTATTTCATCTGCGGGGGGTGCCGGCTTGAGGGGTCCCTAGCCAATATGCAGCAACTGCAAATGGACGTAGAGTTCTTACATTTTGATCACCTTCACACGGCAGTATTCCGTGCCATTCCTTATGCAGAAATCTGCTACGACCCTCTGCAGTAGTAATCGCCCGAAAAGCACTACCCGGGGCTTAAAGCTGTAATCGACCTGCTAGAGATATTGCTTGGAGCACCTTCATGAACAGCAGGTAACCAACAATAAAACTTGCCGCACTGTGTTTGAGAACAAGACAATAAAATACGATACTACTTTCGATCCTCTTGAGGCTCAAGCGCGTGTGTTGAGCATCTCGAATCTTGACATAAGCTGAGCTCGATATGATGCAGCCTACAGTCGTCGTGCATCGCTACATTAGAAAGGTAGAAGCATTACCATCGTTGGAGGCGATGCCTAGCACAATCGCAGGTATGAGAGTCAAGGTACCAAAAGTTGATTTGTGTTGGCATCGCACTAATCAACGTGACAACACCTGCCGTGTCTATTGAAGCGATCTTCATACCGTGTGCAAGTGCAATTCATCTTCGAAGTACACTCTCTCTTATGACCACAAGTTGCCGGGATGGCAAGTTAGCATTCTTTAGCGAGTGACCGACTCCTGCCGGTCCCGTTGTAAATAAGCAAAACGCGCAATCACTTACTGCAGTCAAAAAAATTCCACCGCTGCCAATCTGCGTTTCGTCTACAACATCAATGGTGAATAGGCGTGCAAATTGCTGCAACAAAAGCGGTACTTTACTAGAATGCTACGAGCTGCTACGGAGCTTTTGTCATCACATACTTGCTTTCGGACGCCTTGTCGACTACAAAATCAGTAAACGACGATGTTACTGAGCTGCTGTGTCCTGATAAGACCAAAGTTTAGATGTGCCTTTACATCGTAGCTTCCTATACAATAGCGGACAAATACTGTCGGGGATAGTCTAGTTTGTTGCCTTGCTTTGCTACCCATACGGTATCGGACTACATGATGCAGATTTGACGAGCTGCTTGGCTTGCACAAAATAGGCTTGGCGATCCAGGTGTCGTATTGCTATTTCTCTGTTGATGAGGTTCCAATGACATTATGCTTTTTGTTGCTGTGGTATCAAACCACGACTGAAGGGGTAGAAAATCAGGCGACGTGCCTTGCTACATTCTCATACTCGTTGCCGTTATTGGTTCAACTATTGCCACACATTTCTCCTCCACACACAGATTCATACTTGCAACACGGTCTTCGTTATCCACGAGTTCAATGTTTCTCTGTCCCCCTTAGCTCTATGACTGCACACGTAACGATTCAAGGTATCTGGCCGTTGTGCATGCCACCATCGTTCTGCTTGGACGGCTGCAGATTCGTGACTGCAAATACATTTGTAGGATCCAACGCTTTCTTGATCCCCTGAATGGCTGAAATGGCTGGAAGCGACACAGCTTGCGGCAGCCATGCAAGACGGTGCTTGCCAACGCCGTGGTGGTGCGACAGAGCACCTCCGTTACGCAAAATAGCCTCGACAGCAGCTAGCTCCGTCTCACAAAAAAGAGTCATTGGCTCCTTCACGCCATAATAGTTGATTCCATAGTACACATACACGCAGATCCCGGTATCATAGACTTGCGAGATACGACAAGCAATAAGCGGCGGAACTTGGACGTTACGACTAGCAGCTACCGCATTGATGGCCACCTTGATGTCGGTAGTAAGTTGACGTGCGTTCGTCCAGGCAACTGCAGTCTCGAACGATTCGCTCATAAAGTAATAGTCCAAAGCAAAGTCACGGAGGTACGCAATGATGTACGTGAAGAAGTAGCCACGCTTGCCATTCTCTTCGCCACCAATCATGCCTTCGTGACGCTTAGCGATGGTCTGAATGCGCTTCTGCTGTGCACCCACTTTTTGCTGATCATATCCTTCGAGCAAAACAGTTGCAGCACACATTTTATTCACGTCAAATCCACGGAACTTGGTCACGTACGTCTTTTTTGCATAGTCGAGGACACCAGCAGTGAACTTGTTCGTTGTAGACGACGTCTTAAGCGCCTGTCCCAGCTGGAACTGCGTGTTGTCGAGTAGACGCAGCGATGCCGGCTCACATCCCGCACGAGTGATTTCCATGAGCGCTGCAATACCATGCTCAAGACTAGGAAAAATGAGAGAGTCGTACACTTGTACAGTCGGGTACACACGGAGACGCAGAGTCACCTGAGTGTGGACACCAAATATGCCTTCCGATCCCATCATAGCGTGGTTCATATCCGGACCCATTGCAGCACGAGGTACGTTAGCAGCACGCTGCATCGTACCCTGTGGCGTCACCGTTGTAATATTCACCACCAAGTCTTCAATATTGCCATACATGTTCTTCTTCATACCCGAAGCGCGTGTTGCAATCCATCCTCCGAGGGTCGAGAACTCCCACGAGTCCGGCTCATGTCCAAACGTGAGTCCGCGATGACGCAGCCGCTCATGTAAATCCAATCCCGTAATCCCTGCCTCGACAACTGCCAGCATGTTTTCACCGTCTACACTTAAAATACGCCGCATGTCGCTCATATCCAGCGACACAATCGCACGGCGCTCGTTCGCGTCGCATTCCAATGCGTTCGTCACGTTCGTCCCTCCTCCAAACGGAATCAGACACACATGATCTGCGAAATTCTCAGTCACCTCCCGGACGAGAGCCTCGACTTGTTCATGTGATGTCGGCCACACCACTGCATCAGGCACGCGCTCCACGGTCTTGACATATCGAAGACGAAACACGTCTTCGCACGTCTGGCCATGTCCGTGTCGCACGCGCTCTTCCACTGACATACTGATCCTCATATCAAGCTCTTCACTTGCCAAGTGCAACAGCTGCAACAGCTTTGTCTGCGTCTCTCCATCCTCTTCCAATTGCTTGCACAACTGGAGCTCCTCGGCACACGCCACTCGGGACGGACTGCCACGATCCGCGTCCAGTCCCAGATGCTTCTCCGCCCACGGCAGAAGAGACGGAAGCGTCCGGTCGGGCGCATTAGCGAACACTTGAGCGTAGCGCGTGCCCGAGAGTTCAATCACTTTGTCCGCGTTCACAAACAGCTGCGTGTCCTGGAATCCCCAGCCGTTCCAGCGCGTAGCGGGACTTGGCGCGAGAGCTGAAAGCTGCAGAGATGGAAGGGACGGAGACGGGGCGCCACCGGCTGCGATATGGCGCAGGATGGCGCGCATGCGCGACACGGAAGACGCCGCGTCCGACATGACGGAGACGGTCGGTTGTGACGCTTATTCGTGACGACTGCTGGTTTGTGATTGGTGGAAAAAGCAGAGTGTGGAGAGCCGGTTTGAGGGAGAGAAAATGGCTACAACGGAGTAAGGATAGGCGGCTGGTGTACCGCAATATTGACAGTGCATCCTTTGTGACTCCACGCGCTGCTTTTTGATTGCACGTACCAATCACAGCGCCGTATGCGGATTGAACAAGATTTTGATATCGGTACACCTTTTGCACTATTTATAAAAAGCGCGAGAAAAGCGGTCCTGTCCTGTATATACAACATAGCCCTCAATCCACATCCTCAGACTGACCATCATTCCTTAGATGTCCTGCATCACCATGTTCAGTTCGTTGTCGTCTTTTGCCTCGTCGTCCGCTACTGCCTCCATCCCTTTGCAGTCCGTCTCAGGCGCTTATGAATTGGAGACAGAGTATGGCACTGAAGCTGCAGGCAGGTTGTCCATGATTTTACAAGCGCTTGAGACTGCTGGGTTTCCAAAAGCCCACGTGAACTCCTACTCCGCCTTTGACCGCATTTTGAGCGGCATTGCGTACCTCTTACAGCGCATTGTTCGTCGGGAAGAAGCTGAGAAAGGCCGTGTGCAATGGGACGTTCTATATCACCCGCACGGCAATTTGAAGTCTCGTCTGGGGCTTGCGCAGGAGGTCGTGCGCTGTGTGGAAGCTCTTGATTACGCTTGCCCCGTTGCCATTCAGCCACATCAGTTGCTGCTTCAGGATTTCAGCGACATTAAGATAGTGCAGAAACTTGTTCTGTGGTTGATCGATGAGGGGCAACTCGCGTCTCATTGTGAAAAGATCCGGCGGGAGAGAGCGTTTCTACAGACAATGGGCCCACAAAAGGAAAGGAAACATGTCACAGGTGCAAAAACAGGCGTCGAACGTTTGCTTGATGTTTACGCTCCAAAACGACGGTGGCAATATGCTGCAATTGAGGGAGAACAGGAGGAGTCAGAAGATGCATTGATCCAGCGGTGCTTGCTGGAGTATGGGGAGAGAGTGCTCGTTGTGGATTACGGAGACAACGAAGTGGCAATGGAGACACGCGAAGAAGACGAGCTTCCGGTAGATCTTGTGGCCCAGATGGCGAGTCAAGCTGCAGCAGTTGCTCGAAGTGGGACAAATTTGAAGCCACAAGGAAAATCGTTGAGTTTCAATCGACGAAGATTGAAGAGAAGCGATCGACGGGCAGAAACGTTTGGCCGCCGCTATCAAGCGGTAGCGGACCAGGCGAGAGAGGAGCAGCAGACGTTGCTGCGACAACGACGTGAGCGTGAGGCAAAGTTGCTGCAACGACTTGTGGCTGCATCGGATGAGAAGGAGAGGGACAGTACAAATGGACGTGTGGAGGCAAGCGAGGAGGCTAGGCTTCAAATGGCTATGGAAAAGCTGAAGAAGCACGAGCAAGAATTGATTGAAGAGAAGAAGCACTTGCGTCGTAAGATGGGGACGTGCAAGTCACAAGCAGCTGCGCTGGATGAGGCGTTTTTGCTCTCAAGCTGGAAGTGGAGGTGGTGGAAGCGCAAACACCGAAGGATTCGATTGCTGTGGCGAATTTAGCAAAGCTGCGGCAGCTGATGAAGCAGAAGGAGGAGTACAAACAGGAGAAGGTTGAATATCGGGCGAAATGCCGGCTCGAGTTGGATACGCTGAAGGATCGGGTTGAGAAATTGAAGCGTCAGGTGGCAATGCACGAGAATAAACAGGATGATCAAGCACTGGGTCTGTTAAAAATGGAGGAAATGCACGCTCAAATGGCCTTGAAGCACAAGGAACTGAAGCATGCAGCAGCTCAACAAACTCGCGCGGTCTGTCGCAAATTGAAGCAAATCGATGAGATTCCTTCTCGTATTGAGTTGGTGCAGTACGAAAAGCGGTTTGTGGAGCTTTACGATGAGGTGGCGTTAACGCTGGATGAGACGCGTAAGTATTACTGCATTTACAACACGCTGAAGACCACACACGATTTTTTGGAAAAGAAGATCTCGTTGATCAATAGCATCAGCGAAAACTTTGAAGTCGCGATGGATTCCAAGACCGCAACTCAAGCTTTTTTCGTGCAAGTTGACAACATCATTGAAAACGTCCAGGGCTTAGTACGTAAGCAGCAGGCCGCCCGAGACGACTTCCAATCGAATGTGGACACATTAGATAGCAAGTACCAGTTGCTGCTGGAACATGAGCGAATGTACACAAACGCAATTCTCGAATTTCAGAAGGAGTGCGAAAAACACGAGAAGTTATCACTTCGGCTTGAAAAGATGGCTCAGCTCTAGCTTGGAAGACAACGCAAGTGGTCTGCATTCGCCATTCTCATTTGCGAGCTGCGCTAGGTGATGAGCAGGGGTCCCAGAAAAGTGTTGCCACTCGTCGTACGATCGACAAGATACGACTTGTACATGACTGAGTCGATGTAGGCAGAAATGGTTTGTTTAGCAGCATCTCTTGTGAATTCGCCTCGACCTTGCTGCTCTGTTCTTCCATTTATGAAAGTCGGGTGCAACAAATTCTGCTCTGGATGGGAATATGTGTGCTGTAAGTTGTTCCAAGCAGCAATTGTGGATACCACTAAAAGTTTTTTGCTCGATGAAGCTTCAAATTTTAGCCAAGGCAGATTGAAGCCTGCAAGAGAGGCCTGGGGAGGAGTGTAGGACACAAAGAAAATGTGGTAGCAGATTTGAAGGACCGAATATCAAGTGCGACGAATGGTGTGTGATCTCTTTTACAGCGCTACCTCTGTTCGGATGTTGGGCATGCAACCCTAGCCCAAGATCCGTTTGCAAGTTGTGATCTATCGGCAAGGGTTCTCCTCGCTTCGTATTGTAGTAAATCGGCCGTGGCAAAAGTCTGCTTGTATGTCATTTCTCATGGACCGCATTTGTTGAAAGAAAGGGAGACTATGTATATCTTTGGGTGAACTCATTACTAAAGTGAGGACAGCTGATGGCAGAGAAGATTATTACGGAAATCTGATCGTCCCGCATGCTCTGAAGAAGGAAGCGCCGATCCGCGATCAATAACACGGTGACTGAGGCTGCCATGAATGTAGCCATTCGAGTGCCCGACAACTACCAAAGTGGAAGATATGTACGTTTACGATGATCCGTACACGAAATCAAGGTCAGATATTGCATCACATGTTGAGAAGATCTAGCTAGTACTATGCGGTGCACCAGCTCTATTCGATTTTCACGGTATGCATGGCACTATTTTCTCAAGTACGAGGAAGAAAGAAGGTTTTGTTTCCCGAAAGTGTTATTTGATGTACCAAGACCTTCTTTGCGCGACGCGGGGACTTGGTTCATTCTTGTCCGACCCGTGGCATCGCTGGTCAAACTTGCGAAGGACAATAGTTATACGTTCGTGAAAAAGCACTGATATTTGAAAGCCTTGACAAGTCTTCGATGGTCACAAGGGTGACGTCCCTGTGCCACTGCGTTCACCGTATGAGTTGGTACGAATTACTCGACTGATGGCGCTTTTGCATTCGTCTGAGCCGACAGAGCATAATTTATCTGGCATACGGCCCTTTAAGTATCAGACGCGGCAAGATGAAGAGAAAAAACTGACAGCGCATGAGTAGCACTCTCTTTTGTTCGACAACTTCATCAAGTTTGTCAAGAAAGCGTCGAACGGCGATCAATCAAGACACAAAATAGCTGGACTACTGAATAGGGTGTAAACATGTGCTGCGTAGTGGTCGCCTAATTCTCCGCGCTACAACTTGATCGCGATGTCATTAACTTGATCGCTAGGTCATATCATTGAGCCGATTGTTATTTCGCGCGATGTACACTCGATCAAAACATGCTTCCCGACGCTTGACCAATTTTCGAGCAAGGGCTGGACGGGAACTTGCGAGCAGCATGTATCGTGCAAATCGGTGCACGGCACGCTTGCCATTAGCCTGTTTTAAGCAAGCCACATGTGGGTTGGAGCGTGCGCCTGATATGTGTTCATACTTGTTCACCGGTATTCGATGTACACGTGTACGTCTGTCTGTGGTACCATTCCGCTATGACGCCTCTTTTACGGCTGCCGCTTTCGATTTCCTGAAATCGGTTGGTAGCCTTGTGAGGTTGGGGAAGACGGGCGTGCTGGCAGCACACAAAGCAACGCCATCAGCATCGCCACTTCAAGTGGAAACTTATAAACTTCAATCCCCATGGTCAAGCGAAGTAAATCGTGATCCGTGTAAGCTACTTCGTTTGCCGCTAAACCTAGCGGGATGAAGAACGCCGGGTTGGCCTGAACGACGTCACGGAACTTGCGCTGGTGTCGATGGCTAATATCCGAGTGGGACGCACTTAAACTTGGCGGCTTATCCGATGGCAACTTACATTGTGACGCTGCAAGTAGCAAAAGTGGCACTGTTTGCATAAGGCAAAAGACCGCTGCAATGAATGCAATACGCCGAATGTTCCTCTTGCGATGACTCACGTCCTCCGCTACTTTGTCCAGTAGCACACACATTCTCTCTCCATATGCCGGCAGCAATACGACACAAGCAGCCCAGCAACAAACCAGTAGGGCCGTGGCGCCGAGCAACAGACTGCGTCGAATTCGATTCCTTGGCTCTCTTCGTGCAAACAAAAATGCACTCATTTGCAGCAAGTACACGGCCACCATTAATCTCATGAAGATGAGCCTCGGCGGTGGAAGAGGTTTCAACGACGACTCCGGAGCCATGAAAGCGCCACTTCCTCTCCTTTCGTTGCTACCTGGAGCTCCTCGAGTATGAAGACTCTGCAGCAGAGCGTCCGTTGGCCGGCAATGCTTCCTGGAGCTATAATTAAAATTGGTCCCCTGCACTATATCCACCATCGATGCCCAGGTATTCAGTACCAGTAAGAAGACGCCGGCCAGCACTAGCGACGCTGTGGTGCCCAGGACCTGCCACTGGAACACCAGATCAAGATATGACAGATGCAATTGAGCTGCGTCTCGGTCCAGACGCCTACTGGCGTGTGATTGACACAGATCTAACATCCAAATGGCCACGAGGACGAAAGCTGCAGCTCGAAGCGAAGCTCCTAGAGCGAGTAATCCATAGAGACGCACGGCCGTGTGGTCTTGACGCCAGCTGCGTATTGAGCGATACAGACCCAAGAGGCCGGGGAGTAGGAACAAAGCTCCGCATGAGTATACAATGGCGTATGTTTGATATGTGAAGGAGCCGGAATGGGTGAGTGCCAGGACTGAATTGGTCGGGCCATCGTTTGACGCAGCCGATGCAGGGGAAGCGGTGTTCATGTTTGACATGATGTGTGCAACAGGATCTCAATTTAGATTAGAGCGCGATATAATAAAGTTCACGCTTGATGTCGTATACACAACCGATGCAACAATATAATTTATTGAGCGTACCCAAAGAATACCAATCGAGTATTTAGGCAATAGTACATATCACAGATTCAGAGAAGATTGAATAAGAGCTCAAAGAGCAAATGTAGATTCTGTTCACTACAGCCACAAGCATCACTCTCATTACAATCAGTAAACTATTCTATAGTCATGTAGGCTGTAGAGCTCCGTCCCGCAGCGTCCCATCCCGCGCACCTCGCAACCTAATCCACGGGACGCGGGATACGGGATGAGCCATGACCCTCCCACTCTTCCCGCATATCCCGCATTCAAGAATGATCTTACTATGCAGTTCATCAAGGTTTATTAGAAACAAAAATTCTTGTGCGAATAAAAAAAAAGTCTGATCAAGCGTCGTATTATTATACGTATCAAATGTCGTGTTCAATATCAATCTTTGATTGCCAATATCGACCTTTCCTTCAAGACACTCATCAAGGCACTTAGAGATGCTTGCGACGATGATTCGGTTGCCCCTGCTGCGATCCGATGGACATCTCAATCAGCTATGGGCTCGCGAGGTAAGTTAATAATAAAGATTTATTTTCTGGAATGGTGTGTGTAACGGGGCACCCTGAAGCTTGTACTGATGACAGTACAAGCTACTTATTCTGACGACAGAATAAGTAGCTTTTCTGGAATGGTGTGTGTAACGGGGCACCCTGAAGCTTGTACTGATGACAGTACAAGCTACTTATTCTGACGACAGAATAAGGTGGTGCCTCGGAACTTCACGTACACTGGTATATGCTGAGGAAGACGGTAAGAAGAAGCGAGTACTTGGTTAAAGTGAAATGTAGAACTGTATTTATCATAGTTAATGCCTTTTAATAAACCACTGTTTATCCTCATCTAACTATGTCTGAATACAAATGTGCATATCAACTATCTGCTCACCACTCATTGCGTGCGTCTGTCGTGGCGCGTCTTCGTTGGTTGATATAATGGCCTATATCAACCAATTAGGAACTACTCGTAAGTGCTGCAGAAATTTGTCCTTATGACAATATTCTGAAATATAACTCTTATAGTTATATTCTACTAACAATTTCTTATAAATTGTTATGTAACGGTTCACCCCGTTGCATCACCCCCCCCCTTAACCATCAGTCACTTTAGTGACTGATTGACTAAATGGATACTCGTCCCAAATCATTTGGGACAGGGTTTGCACTTGTTGGTCCGAGTCCACTTTCCAACAGTTCATCGCATGGTTAACAAGTCCATGCGGTGCGCGAGCAAGGCCGCCGAGAGCGCGTCCGCACGTCTCTGTGCGGACGCCGAAGCAAAAACCACAGCAACTGATGTCTCATCGGTTGCTGAAGCGACTCAGCCTGTGTCACTTGGTGATGCAGGCGCACGTCATGAAGACACTCATGTCTTCACAGAGTACGAGCTCGGTGTCTCATACTCTCCCGATACGGAAGACGGATCCGTAACAAAGGCGGTTGAAACTAAGCCGCCTGCCAAGCGTGGCATGGATGATGCTACGCATCGTAGCATCTTTGGTTCATCTGACGAATCAGATGAACCATCGCCAAAGCGAAGGCGCTTGAGGTCGGAAGACTCGGGCGCTCACAGTGGTGTCGGTTCTCCTATTAACACCACTTCGCAGCGAGGTACCAGTACTTCTGTCGGCACATCGCAGGAAAAGAGCGGGACCGCAATGTGTTGCGTCTCGCTCCCGAGAAGAAGGCGTGGATGCCTCCAAAATCAGTCATGGATCACTTGTCGGCGACGACGAGTGATCGCTATCGAACACGATTGTTCGATTCGTCAAGGATCCATCACCTTGACCCCAGTGCGAAAAACTATCGCGCTGAGAATGAGTTCTTCATCGATGCTTTCTTTAAACATCGATGGTACAGTGGGAATCACAAACGTGATGGTCCCTCACTGCTTCAAGCGTGGAACGCTTACATCCATAACCTTGAGGATGTAGGTCGTGACGTTTGGAACGACAAACTTATCAAAGCTCGTGATAAGTTTGAAAAGCGAACACCGACAGGTGCACGCTACAAGCTGCATCGTCTGTCTAAGGAGGGTGGGTTACCCTGCCTCCTGGGGAGACTCGTGCCCATGTTGTGTGAACAACTCTGCACGAGCACCTAAGGAGGCTTACCTCCTTACTAGCCCGTGGTGGCGCGTACGTATCTCTACTGAGATGTACGAAGGGATTGACAACCTGAAATCCCTTTACGACCGTGCCGGGAAGACTTTCTCCGGCGGTCCTTCTGCGGCACAGGATGTGCCGCGTCGTACTGCTCAACCAGATCCAATACGTCGATCATCAGTTGGGAGCGGGGCTCCCAAGTATCCCAGGACGGGGGATAACCGCTCCACCGGACGAGGTAACTCGTCCGACGTCCGTTCACATCGCGGTGGTTCAACAGCTGCTCAACTAGATAGAGCTGGCCACCGCGAGAGTCCTCTAATGGAGGTGGAGGAGTAGGGAAAACGCTCTCCTAACCATCGTGGGGAAGCTTGTATCCCCTTGAGCCTCTTTGATCGCGTAACGCAAGCGTTAAGCGGCGATCTCGAACATGAGCGGGACAGGCGTCTCCAACTGGCGGACACTGTCTCGAAGCATCGAGCTGAGTTTACCTTTGCTCAGCTTGAGAAAGAGAGAGCTTTGACATCTCTGCGTGACGAGCTAAGGTAGCTCGTGGGGATGTTGAGCGGTCTCGGGCTGAGATAACTGCTCTTCAGACCCTTGTCGATGCCCACCATCGGGAGCACAAGGCTCTCTGCGAGATGCTTGAGCGCAAGGGCGTTCTTCATCGGAAGAAGCAGCGTACTGATGGTACGGCTTAAGCCGACCAACGTAAAACGTGGGATGCGTTCGCATCTCACGTGGTAACTCGATCGTGTATGCATTGCCTAGGCGATGCAATACACGAAATGGGCCGATGTACTTGGGAAGAAGTTTACTACTACCCAAGTTAGTCACTACATGCTTTGGTAGATTAACCGTAGACAGTAGGACTAAGTCACCTTTATTAAATAAAAGAGTGTTTGCCCTTCCATTCTTGTCTGCGTTTTGCTTTTGCTTATCCATTGCTTCGGCGATGGAGTCTTGCACAAAACAGACTACCGTTTCACGAGCCAGTATGAACTCATCTGATGACTCGTTATCTTCAGTGCGCTGTGAGTGCACTGCAGCAACATCAATCTTTTCCTCAGTGAGGGCTTCCGCACTCTCACTGGCATCATCTTCTTCGATATCGATGTTATCGATATCGGCATCAAACGCAATGGCCTCATCGTCAGAGATTGATAAGCGTGAACCAAATCGGTTTTTGCTCGCGCGAGTCCCCCCCCTTAAACCAGAGTTACACTTGAGTAAGGTGAGTACACGCGGATGGCGTAAGCCATTCACGTAAAACGGTGTATGTGTCGTGGACGCATGCACCGAGTTGTTGATGGCAAACTCCACCATTGGCAAAAACTCACTCCAACTCTAAAATGAGTGTACGTATCCTCGAAGCATCCCTTCGAGGACACGATTGGCTCGTTCCGTCTGACCATCTGACTCTGGATGATCAGATGTCGACATCTTCAATCGAGTTCCGAGTGATTTGAACACGGAACGCCAGAAATCAGCAGTGGATCGTGGATCTCTGTCTGATACGAGTTCACGGGGCAACCCATGAAGTCGGAAGATGGTGTCGATAAAGACACAAGCACAGCCACTTGCTGTGATTGACTCGGGTACAGCCACAAGGTGTACCATTTTGCTGAATCTGTCAACAAATACGAGGATACCCGTATTCCCGCGTTCGTCTTTGGGTAACCCGAAGAAAAAATCCATTGAGATGGATTCCCAGCACTCTTCCGGAGCTGGTAGAGGCTGTAAAGGTGCACGCAGTGAAGGACTTGACTTCACTCGTTGACAGACTTCGCATGCGCGAACATACTTGCGCACAAACTGATACTGGCGGGGCCAGTAAAAGTCTCGACTCACCGTGAGATATGTTTTCTCTCGGCCACGATGTCCTCCTATAGGAGCATCGTGATACTCGAACATGATCCGCAAACGCAGATCAGTATCATCTGGAATGACAACACGTGGTGTGTCACCAGAAACGGCTGTATAATACAGTAAACCGTTACGAGTAGTGTATCGATCTGATGCAGATCGATACGTAGGCGACAATCGTTTCAACGATTCTCGGGATGGTTGGGAAAGATGTGTCAACAACTTCACAATCTCACCATCTTGGGCGTATGCCCGCCTCACATCATCATACAACGTTGTAGATGGGACTGAGGACGTCATAACCGCAACAGTGACTGTCTCACTGTTGGGTTTCGCGACTGTTTCAAAGTCGGGACGACGTGAGAGTGCATCAGCGACGACATTAAGTCGTCCTGGTTTGTACTCGACCGTAAAGTTGTATTCTGCAAAGAATGACAACCACCGCGCCATTCGTTGCGAAAGGTGCGGACTGTTCACTGCCGTGCGTAATGACGCATGGTCAGTGTGAACAATGAAGGTTCTATCTCCTAATAGATAGACTCTGAACTTCGCGAGTGCATACTTCATGGCAAGGAGTTTCTTGTCATGCACTGGATAGTTCCGCTCAGCTGGTTGCAGCTGACGCGACTGATAGCAGACGACGCGTTCAACGCCTTCTAGGTCGTACTGCATTAATGCACAGCCGATTGCGAAATCGCTGGCATCACATACCACATGAAATGGCCTGTCCTGATCGGCTATTGCTAGGAGCTCTGCTTGATACCATCAAAGGAGCGCTGACACTCAGCGTTCCATAACCACCTCTCGTTCTTTTCCAACAAACGAGAGAGGTGCACAGTCATCTCGGCGTAATTGCGTGAATACTTATGCAAATACGCCGCTAGCCCAAGGAATTTTCGAAGACCTTTGACATCAACCGGCACAGGCCAGTCGGTGATCGCCTTGATCTTTTCGGGATCAGGACGTACACCGTTCTTACCAACGATGCACCCAAGAAGTGGTATTTCGCTTGCTGCAAATATACACTTCTTGAGGTTTGCATACAATTGATGCTTTCGCACTATTGTAAGAACCTGTCGGACGTGGTATCTGTGAACCTCAACGTCCGACTTTCCATCCATAGCCCGACAATGAATACATAATTCATCGAAATAACTCGGTGCGAATTCTCGTACTGGTCTCAACAGATGTGATACACATCTGTTGAACGTGGCAGGGGCATTACTAAGCCCTTGTGGCATTACTAGCCATTCCCAGAGCATGCCGCTAGGCGTGCTAACTGCGGTATAGGGTATATCCCGTTCTCGCATAAGGATTTGATAGAAGCCATCCATCAAATCCATGGACGAAAAGATGGTACTCTTTGACATACCATCAATGATTACGTCCTTCCCCGGTATCGGCGTCTGAGCCGGTACCGTTGCAGCGTTCAATTTGTTGAACGCGTGCACTATCCGCCACCCTCCTGTTGCTTTTCGCACACAGAAGGTCGGAGAGCTATGTGGAGAAGTTGATTCCCTCACATGGCCCGCAGCTAAACGATCGGCAAAGAACTTGTCGATCGCAAGTACTTGTTCACGAGGCAGTGGCCACTGCTTCATGACACAGTACTTCGATCCTGGTTTTAGCTCGAGCTCGTGTCGAATACTCTTATCCTTCGGTAATTTGCACGGAACAGTTTCAGGGAATACATCCTTGAATTCAACCAAATCTTCATAGAGAGGATTTGTCTTGAGCGATTACCACGATTGGGAGTCATATCGCTCAACTCGTGTCTTTTCATCGAGGACGCTCTCGTCCATCGATGAACTACTGAGAACTCTCTCGTTCTCAGTAAACATTGTCGCTGACCTTATGTCGGCTACACACTCGTCGTCAGCGACGAGTACGCAAATCTGCTTGACTTTGCCACTACACAGATCACGCAAGAACCTTTATGTTCGAGCTTTGGCAACTGAGTGATCTCCGAAGTCAACTTCGGAGGCGCAATCAGATCAAGTGTGTAAGCGCCTACACTTGATCCGTTATTGACTATGACATTTAATGTCTCTGTCATTTCCTGGGGACTTATTCCCTCAGGCCTCGAAGGACTTATTCCTTCGGCTTCCCGGGGACTTACTCCCGCGGGTTTCGGGGAACTTATTTCCGCCGTATTTGTAATCTTGGGACTTATTCCCTTTACTTCCTCTAGCTGGGGTTGCGCAACCACAGCGAGATCCTCTACGAAAGACTCTCCAGTCGATCTAGGATTATCGTTTCGCTTAACCTGAGCGATCGATTGTTTCTCTTCTAGATTTTCCCCGCTAGGGATACATCTTTGTCCCAGTCCACCCGACTTATTCGAGTGGTGGACCTTCGGCGCAGCCTGTGTTTCCTCACAGCCGCCGGAACTTTTCTCCGAAGTGTAACCGTTTGGTACACTAAGGTTTTGTGCAGTCGTACTAACGACCGTACCACAAGTGAGGCCATCGCACTCACTCGTAGTACATCCACACGCTTGTGGACGCTCCAAAACGTTCATCAGATGGCCATCTGATGAACAAGCGGCAGGCATCGTTACTGTTCGATGTTGCCAGTTAACTTGTGGTTCGTACCTTCCGAGCCACGGTATTCCAAGGATGACATCAAATTTGTCATCCAAATCCAATACGAAAAAGTCATCGTCATATTGGGTATCTTCTAGCGTATAGTGGATCCTCACTATACGCTTCATGACGGTTACGGATGCGCCTGTCGCAAGACGTACCATCATCCTCGTAGGAGGATTGTCACATTCACTGAACTTAAAGTGACCATCTTCTAGCGATTGGCGTTGCACAAAATTGTTGAACGCCCCACAATCGACTAGAGCTCGAAGGGACAACTTATTTGTCACTTCGAGTTTCAAGGTAATGAGTGAGATCTCATTACCTAGAGCAGCAACGCACAATGTTTGTGTGTTGGGAGCAACCTTCATCAAGATGCCTACAAATTCTCTTGACGTTGCTGGATCAGTAGGGTGCTCCGCACCTACTGATCCTGTCCATTTTTTGACGGTCCATCCAGTTGTTGCGTCTTTGCACCAACTGTGGACCCGCGTCCCTGCCCCTTTCTCATGGGTGGACGGTCACTACGCCCAGTGTTGCGAGACACT